GGGCGGCCTGGGGGCGGGCGCGCGGCGTCTGAGCCACCTCCCGGATGCCCGGGGCCGCTCCCGGGGCCGCTGACCTCCGTCAGCCCGCTCCGGCTGCGCGCCCGGCTCCGAGGCTCCGCCCCGGTATCAGCCCGCTCCCCCCTCTCCCAGACGCCCCCTCCCCACGTGCGGGTGCGGGGGTCAGACCCGGCCTCTGCGGACAGAGGATGATCTGAGACGACCGCCAGGGATTCGGGACGGTGCGCAGGGGTGCTGGCCACAGAGCCTGGATACGGCAGCGACGCCAGGCTGAGCCAGGGAGAGGTTTTCAGAGGCTGCGGGACCGAGGGGGAGGGACACAGAGGCAGTGGGCGGGCGGGGACCCGGGCACCAGTGGCAGCAGAGTGGGTCTGCCAGAGGCTGTCAGACATTTCTGGCCCGTAGTTCCCGTGGGAGGTGTCGAGGGACTGTGAAGAGGAATCTCCCAATAATGAATTCGGTGTCAGGGAACCCGTACCCCCCTCCCCCCAGCTACACCTGCTTCCCTGGCAGCCTCTGGCTTCTCTCCACAAAAAATGCAGGATGACAGTTCTCCCTCAGGGGCAGCCCTAAGGGAAACTTGACTTCCCCAAGCTCAGCACCTATTGGGGTGTAACGCTCTACGTCCACAGGAAGGGGATTTAACCTCCTATCCTCAGCATCACCAGGGTCCCTGCCCTGCCCAGCACCAGTCTGAGTCCTGCCAAGGCAATCTCATATCCCGTCAGGACCGTGTCGGAGATGCTGGAACCCAAACACCTCAGGTCTCACCCTTCTTTGGCTCACCTGAAGGCTAGGGCTGCCCTGGGACGACTCCTCCTCTTGCTTGCCTGCAACATTGTGGATGCACATCACTTGAGCTCTATGTTCCAGGTAAGGTTCTGCTTCCTCAGTTTCCCCATTTACAGGTAAGAGCAGAGCAGCTTTCCAATCCAGCAAGGCTGTGCTGGGAGAATTTAGTGAGGGTTCACATATGCACCACCTGACACAGTGCCCCTGTGGCCCTGGATCATGGAGCAAGCAGGTCCAGCAGTGTGGCCAGAGGGTGAGGAAGAAGAGGCAGACACACAGATTTCCAAGACCATGTAATTCCCTCATCATGAGGCTCAGGGAGTGAGAGTAAGTCTTCTAACATGTGCTGGGCTTCCAGAAACTTTAAATGCAAGGGTCCTTCCTCTGACACTTTACAGGGACAAATTCCTGGGTACTCACAGAGTCAAGTGCTGTGCTGGTCACTTTGGAGATGAGGTTGGACTTATTGCCCCCATTTTAAAGATGAAAAAACTGAAGTATAGAGATATTTCATGTTCCTGGGCATGTGCTACAAGGTCCCAGGGTTTCAAGGTCATGAGTCTACTTGAAACTTGCTTTGATTCCTGTCCCAGTTCTTCCTCTTATTGGATTTGCCATCATGAACTGGTCACTTTGTCTTTCTGAGTCTTTTATTCCCATGATGGGGTAATCATGATGCGTCCCCTTAGGCTACTGCAGGGATAACTGTGATGCTGTCCACAAAGGATGTTTAAGTGCCCAGCAAATAGATGCTATGGATAGTGTGATGTCCTTGGACCTTCCTGCATGGGTTGTAACTGTATTAATCTTCACATGACACAGTGCCAAGCACACAGGAAGCATTACAAAAATAAATATAAAAAAGAAAACATCTATTATCATTATTATTATTGCTGTGCTTGGGGCTTGGTAAGGTAAATCAAATCAGCCTTGTAGGATGGGGGTGGGGACAGAAGCCCACTCACCAAATGTCTGACTATTTCAATGTTGTAACTCACACTAATAACCTGTTAAATAAAATATGTTCTAGCCTCCTACTTTGACAAATATACCTTCATCAATACCTGAAAGGCCAAGTTTAAATTTAGAAATTTTGGATTCCTTTTGGGTCATGAACTGGCCCCTGCCTGTAGCTGCCCTATTCTTGTTCTCTGTCCAGCTCCAGCATCAGCACCATCTGCACCCCATAAACAGGCACCCCTGAGTCACTCTTCAGGCCAGGGGTGGGCATCACATTCTTCCATCCAGGAAGAAGCAGTGCACACTGGGGGGACTTGACTAGAGCCTTTTGGGCAGGGAATTGCAGGATCCCAGGTACGTATGCATATTGTGATCTGGAAGGGGCATCTGGGTTCTAGATGGGTTCCTGTCGTTGGCCCCAGAGATTTCTCACCCTATAGGGTGGATAGTGGAAAGAAGAAGGCCAGAAGCTTCCCACAGATGGACAAATTCCCAATGCTCAGTTGCCTCTTCTGTAAAATGGGCCAGCAGTTCTGCCTGTAGGGCTGATGGGAAGGTCTTGCATGGATATCATACCTGCGTAGATCCACTCCACCCCTCACCCCTGGTTCACCCTGGGGATGAGAGTGGCACAGCAAGACAGTCATTTACCTCCACTGGTGGGGCAAAGGATGCAGATGTCTGGGACTAGGGCAGCCCTCCAGGAACTCAGGCCTCTGAAGATGATCCTAGGAGGAGGGGCTGCTGAGCCAGCAGAATTGCTAAGGCTCTGCCTGGAGCAGAGCTGGCCGGCAGCTTCACTGCAGCCCCAGCTGGCCGTCTTCCCGGATGCTTGACCGCTGCCAGCCAGCCTGCAGCCCCTGTCTCTGCTCACTGGCTGTGCACCTGCTCAGGGCATCCCCTAAAGCACCAGTAACCCCCATGTGTAAATGGGGATGCTAAATGTGCCTTCCCCACAGGCTGCTGGAAGCACACAGCAGATGTCAGTTGTCATTCTTGTGGGTGCCATCTCTGTAAAGTGCTGTGATCGTGATCAGTACCCCATAAAAGCTCAAAAGCCACATGCCTTAGCCTCCTTCCAACCCCATAGAGATGCTGGAGCTGCTCAGCATGCTCAGGGCCACGCCCAGTTTAACGGCGAACTCTGGGCTGGATCAGCAGCAGCCTTCCAGACTTCAGCTCCTGATCCACCCAGAACCCCCAAGAAAGTGCAACATCTCAGGACACAGGTGGGACTCTGTACATGTTTGGCCACTTTTCTTCCCTGTTCTCGGGCTCCATTGTGGTTGATACGGTTCTAGACATCCTCCAATGCTGGCTCTCTCAGTCGGCATACCCAGGACTTACCAAAGTTCTCTGAGCTTTCAGGGGAGATTATGTCTTCATCAAAAAGAAAATGAGGAGCTGGGGAGATGGCTTAGCAGTTAAGAGCATTGGCTGCTCTAGTAGAGGACCCGAGTTCGGTTCCCAGCACCCATATGGCAGATAACAACAGTCCATAACTCCAGTTTCAGGAGATCCACAGCCCTCTTCTGACTTCTGTGGGCATTGCAAGACATGGGTGCACTTACAAACATTCAGGCAATACACTCAAACACACAAGAACACTTGCTGTTCTTCCAGAGGACCTGGATTTGATTCCCAGCACCCACATGGCAGCTAACAACCATCAGTAACTCCAGTTCCAAGGGATCTGTGTAGCTGTAAGCCTGTTTTCTTATCTCCACATGGGGACAGATTCTCCCGAGTAGAGTCATTGTGAGGGCATAGGCATGATGTAGTGAAAATGCTCATGTTTTGGCAGTTCCTCAAATAGGAACCAGCAATTTCATTTGTAGGATATTTCCACCATGTATGCAAACAAATGCTTGTACATGAACATTGTAACAGCACTCTTTTACAGTAGCCCCAAAGAAGGAAATAACTCAGATGTCCATCATCAGTGAATAAATAAAATAAGGTCCATGCATACAATGGAATCCTGGGTGGGGGAGAAAGACTGAGGGGTGAATGCTTAGTAGGTGCAGGTCTCCTTTGAGGAGGATGACAAAGTTTAGGAGTTATATAGAAGTCATGATTGCATAAGTCAGTACGCTAAATGCCACTGTGCCATTGAATTGGTCACTTTTTTTTTTTGAGACAGGATCTCATTATGTAGCCAAGCAAGGCTGGCCTTGAATTTATGATCCTTCTGCCTCAACTTCCCAAGTGCCAGGATTACAGATGTGTCAACATACTGGCTAAACTGTTCACTTTATTTTTATTTATTTATTGCTGTTCTGTCTAGCATATGCCAGGCAGGCTGTCTACCACTGAGCTACATCCCCAGCCTAAACTGTTCAATTTATATGGTTAATTTGGGGAGTGGAGAGATGGCCCAGCAGTTAAGAGCACTTGCTGTTCTTTCAGAGGACCTGGGTTCCCAGCACACACACACACACACACACACGGCATCTCACAACCGCTTATAACTACAGCTCTAAGGAATCTGACATCCTCTTCTGGCCTCTGTGAGTACCTACACATACATGCACATACACACACATAAATAAAATTGAACCTTTAATAAGTGGTCAATTTAATGCTATGTGAGTTTCATCTGAACTAAAATACCCAGTACAAAGTCCCATACAGAATAAGCTTTTTTTTTTTTCTTTGAGACAGGGTTTCCCTGTAGCCCCAGCTAGCCTGGAACTCACTATGTAGACCAGGCTGGCACCAAAGTCACAGAGACCCGCTTGCCTCTGCCTCCTGAGTGCTGGGACTAAAGGCATGTGCCACCATGCCTGGCTAGAATAAGCTCTTAAAATGAAATTAAAGGTACCAAAAGCCAGGAGTTGGGGAGATAAATGACTAGAGGGGAGAACCCTTAGACACAGGCAAAGGACACAAGTGAGGGTATGGTAAGGTAAGAAGCTGTCACCTCCTCTGTCAAGCCAGTGACCTGGAGAGAGGAGAGACTAGGAAGAGGCAGGGACTGGGACCAGGAGCCTGGAGGGTTTCTGGGACCCCAGAAGATGATTATGGGATAATAGGGCCAGATTTCAGTTTGTAAAACACTCTGGTGAAGGCCCTTTAGTAATCCTGACACATGAGAGGTGGAGACAGGAGGATAAGGAGTTCAAGGTCATCTTTGGCTACATAGCAAGTTCTAGACTAGCCTTGGATATATGAGACACTGTCTCAAAGAAGTAGAAGAAAAAAGGACCACTCTGTAGTGGAAAAGTGTGTGTGTGGCAAGTGGGGAGGCTGTTACAGAGGGACTAGAGTAGGGTTTCAAAAGAGGTGGGGGAGGTAAGTGCTCAGTGAAATTGGTGGCTGAAGGGAAGAGTGAGGACAGGGCATATATTTAGATTATGCCTAGCTGTAACCTATAGGTTGGCACTGCTTACAGAAGGACTGGAGTCAGTGAGGAGTTACCTTGGCCATGGAAGGTGGTGTCTCTGTGGGGCATTTAACAAGGAGCTGGATATGTTTCAAGCGGGGAGGCTTCAGAAGCCTGGGAGCTGGAGACGGGTGGGAAGTCACCAGGGCAAGGATGACACTAGAAGCCATGGAGCTAGTGGTTTCTAGCCCCCAGGGACCATATGATATACAGAGAAATATTTGGAGGGAGCTAGCCTCTGGGGGAAGGCAGAGAGATCTAGTACTAGAGCAAAAAGGGAGGACATGAGATTTTTCTGTCAATTACAGTACATAAGGGTCAAGAGGTGGAAGGAAAAGTATCCATTGGATTTGGCAGAGTGAGATAGACAGTGACCTTGAAGAATTTTCACCCAGAGAGCTGGGGGTAAAGCTGGGGAATGAAGGGGAGGTAAGAAGTGGAGCTAGCAACATGGTGAGGACAACTCTGTGAAAGAGAGAGTTTCAGCTCTAAGGAGAGTACTGGGATTGTTTATGGTAAAATGCTAAGAGGAGGCTGGAACTAGTGCTGATACTCAGATGGTAGAGAGCTTGCCTACCATGAACAAAGGCCTGGGTTAGACAGATCTCCAACACTGCATAAAACTGGGTGTGATGGCACCCACAGGTATTCCCAGTTCTCAGGAGGTGGAGGCAGGAGGATCAGAAGTTCAAGGTCATCCTTGTCAACACAGTAAGTTTGAAGTCAGTGTGGACCACAAAACCATGTCTCAAAAACAAATCACTAACAACAACAACAAAACAAAATGCTAAGAGATTCTGTAAAAAGAGGGAGTGGGGAAGTATGGGAAGAAAGGTGTCCGTGACCCAGGGTCTGGGTGGATGGAAAGGGAAATTGGCCTTGGTCAAGAGGATGCATCTGTGCATCCTCTCTGTGGCTAGAATAAAGAGGGAGTAGTAGCTCTATAGGAGTGGGGACAAATCATGGGAAAGCCAGCCAACTGCTTGGAGTTGGGAGGGTTAGAACCAAAATGAAGGCCATGGGTGTTTGCAGTTTCCTGGGCTGATTTGGATGCCCTGAAGTTCAAGCTGGGACTGGAGAGGTCCCCAGACTAGGGTTGCCAGATAAAGCAAAAGTACAGAATGCCCAAATGCATTTGGATTTCTTTTAAGGAAGTAATTCTTAGCCAGGTATGGTGGCACACGCCTTTAAATCCAGTACTCCGGAGGTAGAGGCAAGCTTGATCTTTGTGAGATCCAGGGTAGCCTGATCTCTACTTAGCGAATTCCAGGCCCACTAGGACTGTAAGGAGACCCTGTCTCAAAACAACCCCTCCCCCCCATAAGAAATTCTTTTAGTATAAATATGTTCCGCGCAATGTTTGAGATACGCTTACACTAAAGAAAAAAAAAATGTTGCTTATCTGAAATTCAAGTTCTGTCTTAGCTCGGAAATCCTAGCCAGGAGTGGTAAGTAGGGTAGGGTATGGGGGGGAGGGGTTAGTGCGATCGCGCCTGGGGACCAAGCCTGGAAAACAGACAGCAGCACCAGAGCTGTGGATATCGAATGAGCACAAGTCTGAAGCTGCTGGCGACCAATCTGCGCGGGGCCACCGCTGGAATCCCCCGCCCCAGAACTTTAGTCTGGCTCCCAACTCCCCCACCCAACCATGGTCTTGCCCTGAACGCCCATCGATAACGCTCCGCTCCGCTCCTGCCTCTATCGACTCGCTCTGACTCGCCTCGCCGTCCTGGACAGAGGCAGCGTGCAGAGCGCATGTAAGGTGCGGAGGCCGTCGGACAAGGGCCGCGAATCGGCTGTTTGGGGGGTGGGGGGTGGCTAGGAGGGCACGGCCAGGGCAATCAGGCTAGCAGGGCAAAGCCAGGGCGGCCTGCAGAGCCCAGGGAAGCTCAGGGGTCCTGGCAGACATGGCCCCCACCCATCAGATCGCGCGGCCTGTCAGGTACGCATGCGCAGCTGCAGCGCTCTGCTCTTCCCCACCCCTTCGGCCTGCGCATGCGTGGCCTGCCCCTGCGGCAGACGGCGCCCCGAGTGACTACCCTCTGCGTGTGACTGCCTCCTGTTGGCTGCAGGTGCGGTGGCGTCCCTTTCCGTGAGGGTGGCGGGGAAGGAGCACGCCGTGGAACCCAGCAGTCTCTTGTCGCTGTCAGAGCAACTCTCAACCCCGACGCTCACTTTTAAAAATATTCAAAGTGGGAATTGTAAAACCAGTGTAGTATGCGGAGGGTAATCTCTCATGTACTTCACGCCTCTTTCCTCTCCAGATGTTTTGAATTTGACCCTTGCCTGTCAGCTCTTGGCCCTGTGCAGGCCTCATTCTTTCCAACAGACACAACATGAACACCTCCCCAGGCACAGTGGGCAGTGACCCTGTCATCTTGGCAACTGCAGGCTATGACCACACCGTGCGCTTCTGGCAGGCCCACAGTGGGATCTGCACCCGCACTGTGCAGCATCAGGACTCTGTATCCTCCACTTGGGAGGCGGCCAGAGTGGTGTTGGGTAGGACCCTGGGCATGGATGTCGCATTGGTGGAGTTCAGGGCAGGTGGTGGAACCCTTGAGGACCTGTGGCCCCAAGGCCTCCTTTCCCCCAGTTCCCGTTCCATCATCCTTAACACACACCCAGCAGGTGAATGCCTTGGAAATCACACCAGACCGAAGTATGATTGCTGCTGCAGGTACCTGAGATTCTTGACCTCTGTCTTTTGATCGATGGTAGATAAACCTGGGCACCCATGCTTCAATTCGACCTATGTTCCTAGGGTACCAACATATCCGCATGTATGATCTCAACTCCAATAACCCCAACCCCATCATCAGTTATGATGGAGTCAATAAGAACATTGCATCTGTGGGCTTTCATGAGGATGGTCGCTGGATGTATACTGGTGGGGAGGACTGCACAGCTCGCATCTGGGACCTCAGGTACTGAGTGCTGGGCTGGAGAGGATGGCTGCCTGGTGGGGAGAGGGCAGGCTAGGGAACTGTCTTTGGGTAGATATTCTCCTAAGAGGCTGAGCATGGGGCCTTTGAATGGGTAATTGAGGGCAGAAGGAAAGCAGAATGGGAATTGCATCAAAGAGCCAGCCCACCCTTGAGGCTCAGGGCCAGCACACACAGACACCTGTCAGGGAAGAACCTAGCTTCACAAGCATTTCCTCTGAGACAGAGGTAACTCCCATCAGCAGGGAGTAAAGGCGAAATTGGCCATGTGGGGGCTTTTGGTGAGGCATCAACAGCACACACTAAAGACTCTGTGTAACCTCACTCTCCACAGGTCCCGGAACCTGCAGTGTCAGCGCATCTTCCAGGTGAATGCACCTATTAACTGTGTGTGTCTGCATCCTAACCAGGTAAGGGACATTCATGGAACTGGTACCTTTGAGAACTTTGGAAGACAGGAGTGTTATCATATCTCACTTTCCCTATACTCCAGGCAGAACTCATCGTGGGTGACCAGAGTGGGGCTATCCATATCTGGGACCTAAAGACAGACCACAATGAGCAACTGATCCCTGAACCTGAGGTTTCCATCACATCTGCCCACATTGATCCTGATGCCAGCTATATGGCAGCAGTCAATAGCACTGTGAGTGCTGGTGGGTGCAGGGGCAGCTCATTACCCAACCCCTTGGGCTGGTTCCTTGGTTATTTCTCAAGTTTCTCCCCTTAGCATCCACCCAGCTCCCAAGACCAGGATCCTGGGTACCACTTCTGTTGTTTACCCACAGCCTGGGCATCTCAACCAGTAGTTCTGTCATTTCCTCTTTCTACCACCTTCTAGTCCATGACTATCTAATCTCCTCTGGTGCTGACAGTCTCCTTGCCACCCCAATCTGTCCTTAAGCCATAGAAGCATCCTTTAGCCTTACTGGCCAGGCTGCACTATTCCCTGAGGAGACCCTAAGATGTTCTGGCTCTTGCTCATGGACTGCAGGATGTTTCAGTTTGGGCCCTGCTCTCTTCTCCATAGACTTATTTTCTCCACTTAAATCTAAGTGTATCACTTACCAGCATTTCTTCCTCCCAGCCTTGAGCCGCCATATCGTCTATCTGGGTCTCCTCTCCTCCTGCACATCTCTGTTGGTCTGCAGCAGCCTCTAAAGAAGTGTGTGTGAGTCCTTGACTAGTGTGGCCTTCTGCTCTTGGCTGGTTGGCCATGGCCCTTCATTAGGGCCAGGCCTTATGTAGGTGCTTCCTTTCCTACTCTGACCCAGGTTGTCATGGGTCCAGGTCTAGATCCTTGTCTGAGGCTCTGGGTTTTGAATGTATACTCTCCTACCCTATAGGGAAACTGCTATGTCTGGAATCTAACAGGAGGCATTGGTGATGAGGTGACCCAGCTCATTCCTAAGACCAAGATCCCAGCCCACACACGCTACGCCCTACAATGCCGCTTCAGTCCTGATTCCACGTGCGTGCAGGGCCTGGTGGCCTGAGAAGGGATCTGCAAGGGCTAGGGGTGCTACCTGGTATATGGTAAGAGGGTGCAGGGTGGCAATGACTGCTGAGACATCCCATGTCTCCGCCCAGGCTCCTTGCTACCTGCTCAGCTGACCAGACATGTAAAATTTGGAGGACATCCAATTTCTCCTTAATGACAGAGCTCAGCATCAAGAGTAGCAACCCTGGAGAGTCATCTCGAGGCTGGATGTGGGGCTGTGCCTTCTCAGGGGACTCCCAGTACATTGTCACAGGTGAGCCCTGTCCTCCTGCCTCCCCTACCCTCTCTGGGCCTCTAGGGGGGCCATTCATAGTTGCTGCTTCTCCTGTGCCTTGGTGCTAAGCTACTACCCAATCAATCCCTCCATGCAGCTTCCTCCGACAACCTGGCTCGGCTCTGGTGTGTGGAGACAGGAGAGATCAAGAGGGAGTATGGTGGCCATCAGAAAGCTGTTGTCTGCTTGGCCTTCAATGACAGTGTGCTGGGCTAGCCTCTGCCCCTTGGGGCTACATTGGACCGTCAGGACTACCTGGTATAATGGCTCTAAGTGGATATAACTGAACAATATCCTGGTCCAAGTGAGATGCTCCAGTCAGCCTCTGCCTGCCAAGCCAACTGGACCTAACCAAGTTACCCTGACCACTCTTGGTCAGCTAGACTTGCCAGGCCTCTCCACCCTGGGGCTTTCTTTCCTTGTCAAGCAACTCACTGGGAGTCTATTCTGTCTTCAGAAAGGTTGGACTTGGAGCTATTGAGGGGATCTGAGGCTTGTTCCTACTTTCCAGGCATGCTTCCTCCCTTTCCCCTCCCTACCCCTGTTTAGGTCCAGAGGCCCCAGAGATTACAACCATGGCCAGGTGGAAGGGTTTATTAGTCCCCACCATCAGCTATCCTCCTCTGTGATGCTGGTGACCAGGCCAGCCTATTGACCTATAGGGACAGGGCTAGCCTGTGGGACCAAAGACCAGGCTGGGCCAGGCAAGGCCAGGTGGTGGGGCTTAGTCTGGGAGGTAATAAAAGCAGACTGACACACAGATATTGCTTGGGAAGCAGATGTCAATGCAGAGGTAGATCAACCGCTGTCTCTGGGGCCCTGGGGAGAAGGGAACTCATGAATCCTCAAGGACTTCCACCTAGGCTCCTAGTACCATCTTGCAGGAGCCACAGGCTTCTTCTTCAACCTGCCCCAACTCACCTGCTCTTCTGGCCCAGTAGATGGGAGTCTTCGCACAAAGGTGTTGCACTGAAGCCCCCACTTGGGCAGGGTCCACAGTATGACCCCCAAGCACTGCCAGCAGCTCCTGGACATGGTGGGTATCTTGGCCAGGTACATGGGACTCTTGGGCCTACAGAAAGATTCTGGTGGGCCACTTTATGGAGTTTTCCCTGATCCTGGCTGGGCAGTGCACTCATATCCTACCCCCACCTGATGGCCCTTCTACCTGCTCTTGTCAACAGCCTCAGCTTGGGGAAGATAGAGCTTTCTGTTCCCCTGAAACCAGAGCCCTGGCTGGCCCAGCTAGACTGCACACAGGACCTTTTGTCTGGCCCCTGGCCTGGGGGGTCGGGGGGTGGGCACAAGCCAAGCAGGACTCCTCACCCTGGAAGTATTCACCAGCAGCTGCAGGGTCTCCCAATCTTGGGCCTCCATTAGTCGGAGGAAGCAGGCCTGGTGCTCTGCAGGGCGGTAACAGATGCAGCCCTGGGGAGGGAGATGGGTAAGTCTCAAGGCCAAGGCCACCCCTGATACCTGTACTCTCTCCCCCTCCCAAGTCTACTCACACTCTGCCCGTCGAACAGCACAGCCCAGCTGTGGTTGCTCTGAAGCGGAGTCACCATGATGGTCGCCACATTCTGGGCCACGTCCACCAGAGTGGTTTGGTTGGGCCAGGGCTTTCTGGGACTTGGAAGGCTCAGTCGGAGCATCTGCAGTAATGGCTGAGAGGGAATTTGGAGTTCAGTCCTGACACCTACATTTACATTATCACCTGAGTGGGCCTTCACCCCTGGGTTCTCTGGCTCTCTGCCACAAGACCAGGGTTTATTCCTGACTCCATGGGAAGGCTGGCAGGTGCTGGCCTTCCTGTCCCCTTCCCACTCTCCATACCTCTGGGCCTGAGGCGGGGCTCACCTTCGGACAGCTGTAGCCAAGAAGCCCTCCAGCCACAGCTCCTGCAGTGACTAGTGTCAGCAGGATCAGCAAGCCTGTTGCTCTCCAGCCCCTGTGGCAAGTTTTGGTCTTCACCTGAGGGCACATTGCTATCAGTGGTGCTTCTTGGGTTAGAGACCAGGAAGCAGACTTGCTCAGGGAGGTAAGGGGCTAATGTATGGTGGGTGGTGGCATCCCTGTGCCCTTTTCTTGGGGGTAGTAGAGCCACTCACCTCAGCAGGCCCAGACCTAGGGCTCTCAGTGTGGTTGTACTCTTGCTCCATGCTGCAGCCCCTGCTGACAATGTACTGATTGTCTGCAGCCCCTTGGAAGCAGCCAGGGAAACCTCAGGATGCCTTTGATGAGTTGAACAACTATATCCTCCCCTCCCAACCCCACTGCCTCCTTCCTAGCCAGTATCTGATATCCATTGTCAGAGCCAGGACAGCCTCCTCCCCCACAAAGGTTGCTGCTCACCAGGTGTAGCTCTGGACATTTGGCTCATGCAGACAGAAGAGCAATGGGTCTGGGAAGATGTAAAAATGAGGCCTTGGTAGGAAGTCCATGCACCTGGCTAGGATGATTCTGTCTGGTGGTGGTGGATTTTGATTCTTGGAGGATATTACCTCTTGGCTTCTGAACTGGGCACAAGAGACCATCAATAAACTTCTGTTTAATGAACCACTGGCATGAGGCTGCCTTCTTACACCCCTCTCCCCATGCATCTCCAACATCTTTCCAGGCCCCACCAATACCAGATGGGGCTGTGGGTATCCCTATACCCAGGACCAGGTGGGCACTAGGCTGGGATATTTTGCACATATTTAGTCTATTGCACATATTCCCTAACATGTTTTTTTCTTCTAAACCAACTGTGCTCATTGCCCTGGTTCCTGATCTGTCTAGCCCTGTGACACATGGCTCAGCTGTACACTTAGTCACAGGCTTCACTCAGGCTGTTTTGCTCTGGTTTTGTGCTATGTACTTCCTGATTCTTCAGGACCTGTTCATCAAAAGCAGGGTGGGGCTGTAGTAATCAGTGTGCCAGCTCTGGAAGATTCTGGAATTAGAATCCCAGCATGCCTTAAGTCTTGTTGCCTTGCCCCCAGACAAAGTTAGGTAGCTGCTACTACAAAGAAAGTGAGGAAGACAGAGCCAGTCAGTGTGGGTTTGAAAGTTTAATGTACATTTGGGTTCACACAGTGAAAAAAGTTGGAAATGCAGCACACACAGGCTCTCAGGCTACCCAGAAGAGGGAACTGACTGGCTGCTGTACTGCTGTATGCTCCTGTGCGGGTGACAACACCCTGACAGGTTTGCTCAATATCCAGACCCACTTTGAGCCACCCTCTCAAAGCCAGTGTCCACACCACCAACCTCACAGGTGTGGCTGCCTTCATGTTGACCTAAGGCACCATTTCACCCCCAGCCATCCCTGGCCTGGGAGTAGCTGCAGGTATAGGATACCCTTTATTGCTCTGAGAACTTGATGAACAGGTGAAATGCTATGACCACAAGAAGCCACTGTGTACAGGGCAAGGTGCCAGGAAGGAGTCAGCCAAAAGGAACAGCTTCCCAGAGGTTTTGGCCTGTGAATGCTGCCTAGTCTGCTCAGCAGGTTGCTAAAGGTCAGCAGACCCACAGAACAGAGAAGGAAAAGCCCAGAGGATACCAAGAGCTCAACTGGTTGGTGGGCCTTCCTGCTAGTCATTAACAACTGAGTCCAGCACCAAATTAGGTGGTGTCATGGGGTACTGATGACAACTAACCCCACCCCAACCCAGGGTGACCCTGGGAAGGGAGGCCAGGAAGACATTGGATACTTTCTAAGAGACTATTCTTGGGACACCTCTTTCCTCCCTGCACAAAGGGCACCCCTGGCAACAGGCAATCCTTCACTGGATATGCCTTTGACTGTGCTGCTGACTGCAGGGCATGATACTTCTTCAGTGGATGTACCCAGTGAGACAGCACAGCTATTAATCTATATACTTAAAATTCAATTTCACCACTTGACAAAGTTGTTCACCGATTAAAAAAATTTTTTAATAGCTCCCTGCACAGCAGCCAAGTTCAGTGAAGGCATTCATACCCACTTGGTTACTCAGAGGACCACACTCAGTGAGACACATGGGTATATAAATGTCTATTGAGACAGCTGAACGTAACTGGGCTGAGTTTACAGAACCGGAGAGCTGTGTATGAATAGATGCAGTGCTGGGCATCTGAAAGGGAACAGACAATCGTGACATCAAAGTGGTTTTCAAGGAAAGCAGGGGCAAGTGGAGAATGTCAAGGGCAGCACCCACACCCCAACAATAGGGTGAAACCACTTGGGAGCAGCCCCCTCCCTCCATTCCCACCTGCAGGTGAGGAACTAGTACACAGTAACAGGCTCCTCCTGCTGAGGACCACAATGGGGGGAACCCCAATTTGGTCTGTAAAAGAGCCCTTCCTTTCTTCTCTGCCCCTCAGAGGGCTTGATCCCTGAATTAAGTTTTTCCATAAAATGTATGACACACACCACTTGACCCACCTCACTCTCACCAACAAGGCCTGAGGCTACCTGAATCCTGGGCACAGGACCCACCCCATAATGCCCTCCAAACTTAAAAGTGCATCTTAAAATATAATCATCTGTAAACAACGCCCCCCCCCCCCCGCCAAAGTTTACTTACAAGGTTAACTACTGCCTTTGCTTAACTCCATTTACAGTCTGTAGCCACCTAGCTGAGCCATTCCTAAGCCCCATCTATTAATTTAGGTAACTGATTTTCAATTTTTTTTTTTTATTCCAGAGATTAAAGATACTAGATCTTTAACCTTGAAGGGCAGGCAAGAGGTCGGCTATGCTGTTAACATAGAAGTCAGGGACCATTTTCTTCTTGGACAGGCAGTCACTTTCTTGATTATTCTTCACATCCAAAAGACTGGAGACACCGGTGAGGGTCAGGATGGTCTTCAGGCTACAGGTGGAGCCCAGGAGGATGTCTGTGTCCAGGCGGTCCCCCACCATGACCGTGCGCTCTGGGTTGATGCCATACTCCTGAGACACGCAGTCGAAGATGAAGCGGCTAGGCTTCCCAATGATGTCGGCCTGGCGCTGGGCGGCCATCTCCACGGCTCGCACCAGACAGCCGGTACCTGCGGGGCGAGGAAGGGAAGGGGACGCCGGGGTCAGACGACGCGGAGGGGCAGGACCCGACCTCCAACCTCCCGCCCCGGGGCGCACGGACCCGCAATGAAGTGGCCGTTCTCCAGCGGGAGCCGGTTGTCCATGTTGGTGCCCACGAGCAGACAATCGGGCTGCTGCAGGTAGCGCACGGCCTTGGTGAGCTTCATATAGCTGAAGTGCGGGTCGAAGCCCACCACCACCGCACGCACGTCCGGCTCTAGCGGCGCCTCCAGCCAGCTGCCGGGGCTATCGCCCTGGAGCGGCTCCGGACCCACGCCCACGCTGGCGACTCCCACGGCCTCCAGCTCGGCCGCTAGGGCCGGGCTCCCCAGCACGTAGGCCTTGGGGGCCGGCGTGCCGGCCAGGCGCTGGCGCAGGTAGAGCGCTGTGCAGTAGGCCGTGCCAAAGACCTCGAGGCCCGCGTCGGGCCCCGTCGGGCCGCCGAAGCCCAGGTGCCGCAGCTTCTCCGCGTAGGCCGCGCGGGTCTTGCTGCTGTTGTTGGTGATGAAGCCCAGGCGCTTGCCGTGGGCCCGCAGCGCCCGCAGAGTTTCGGGTGCGCCTGGCACGGCCGTCTCGCCGCGCCACAGCACGCCATCGCAGTCGAACAGCAGCGTGTCCACGTCGGCCAGCAGCGCCTGGGCCCGCTCGGCGTTCAGCCGTACGCAGCGGCTATCGCTGCCGCCCGCCTCCGCCTCCGCCATGGCCACCCGCTGACCGCCGCCGCCACCGGCCGCCGCCGCCGCCACCGACCGCTCCTCGCTGCCACCCGCCGCGGCCTCGGCCCCGCCTCTGGCACGCTCATTGGCCCGGCAGCTCGAGCGCACCGCCCATTGGCGATGCCTGAGCCAATTCATCTGCGCTTCCCGCAAGCTGCGGGAAGCTCAGCGCCAATCGTCTCCGCCCGGCGCGGGGAAGCGGCCGGCCATTGGCTGTCTGAGCCGGAACACGCCACCGATTGGCTGGCAGGACGCCAACTGGCATTCGAGGTAGCGCGCACGCTATCGAAACGCTGCGGGCCGAGAACCTCACGAAACGTAAGGCCGCCGCTTATTGGTGGCCGAGGGGCAGCTCGCCCATTGGAGACCGCTGGTCAGTTTAGGTGACGAAGCCTCCTGGTGAAGGGACCCTGGGCCTGTCCGGCCGCTGATTGGCTGCCTTCCCTGGCGGTCTGGAGGGTGGGGCTCTCCGCGGGAGCTCGGCGGGTGGGGCCGCTTGAACTCGTCACATCCACACCTTTGAGGGACCACTGTTCACGGCTTGGACATGGACCGGACACGGTGTCAGTGCTTGAACCGAGTACCTTCTAGTCTTGGAAGCCATCCCGGACTTTCCTTTCCCCAGGGGTCTCGCATTCGTACCTCTAATTCTGAGCAAAGACACTTTCTCTGTAGGCTGGGCATGGTAGCACATGCCTTTGTGAAGCAGAGGCAGGCGAATCTCTGAGAGTTCGAGGCCAGCCTGGTTTACATAGTGAGTTCAGGTCAACCAGGACTACATAGTAAAGACCCTGTCCCAAACAAACAAACAAAAAAATCAAAACAAAAACACTGCCTAGACAGTAACCAGTGATCTCAAGGCAGTGGGATATATCCAGGAGGGTATTGCCTACAGTGTGGTACTCAGCAATTGGTCATTATCATCAACTGTTTATACAAAATTTTACTGAGGCATAGCATACAGTAAAGAACTTAAGTGTACAGCGCAATGGAAATTTTAAAGATTTCTTTTTACTACTTTTAAAATTATGTGTATATGTGTATGTCTCTGTGTGGCTATGTGGATGTGCATAAAGGAACTCCAGAGCCTAGAAGAGGGTGTTGGATCCCTTGGAGCTGGACTTAAGAGGCAGCTGTGAGCTGCCTGATGTGGGTGGTGAAAAACAAACCCAGGTCCTCTGCAAGAGCAGTATGTGCTCTTAATTACTGAGCCATCTTTCTTATTCCATCAATGGATTTTATTTTATTATTATTATTTTTTTTACTTTTTTGAGACAGGTTTTCCTATGGCCTCAGCTGGCCTGGAACTTGTTACATAAACCAGGCTGGCCCTCCTTGCACAGAGATCTGCTTACCTCTGCCTCCCAAGTGCTGGGATTAAAGGCATTTGCCACCAGCCCAATGCCATCAATGAAATTTTTACATATGTATATACCCATGTATACTCAATCCAGATCAAATACAGAATATTTCCAATACCTCACACAAAGTCCTCTTGTGACGCTATCCAATCAGTAAATGGATACCCCTTCCCAACTATGTTTCTGACTTCTATTCGGACTCTTATTTACCTGTTCTAGATAATCTTTTAAAAATTTTTATCTTTGATGCCAGGCATGGTGGCCCATGCCTTTAATCCCAGCACTCTGGAGGCAGAATCAGGCAGACTTCTGTGAGTTCAAGGCCAGCCTGGTCTACATAGTGAGTTCCAGGTCAGCTGGGGCTACAGGGAGACCTTTTGAGGTCTCAAAAGAAAAAAAAAAATTGGGGGGCTGGAGGGATGGCTCAGGGGTTAAGAGCTTGTCTTCCTCTTGCAGAGGACATGAATTCAGTTCCCAGCAACCACAATGGGCAGCTGACAGCGGCCCTAACTCTAGCTCCAAGGGATCCTATGTCTTCTCTGGCCTCCATGGGTACCTGCACACATGTGTACACACACATCTCATAATTACACACAGAAATATATATATATATATATTTAAACTATCTTTTAATTTTATGTGTATGAGTGCCTGTGTCATGCAATGCCCTCAGAGGAACTGGAGTTACGGACAGTTGTTAGCTGCCATGTGGGTGCTGGGATCCAAAACCGGGTCTTCTGCAAGAACAACCAGTGTTCTTAACAGCTGAACCATCTCTCCAGCCCCTTTGGTGGGTTAAAAAACAAACAAACCATTTGTGTGTGCAATCGCATCATGGAGTGGATTCAAGTTATCAGGCTTGGCTGCAAGCACCTTTACCAGCTGAGCCATCTCACTGGTTTTTTTTGGGAGGGGGGATTTATTTATTTATTTTTGGTCTTTTTGAGACAGGGTTCCCCTGTAGCACAGTTGGCCTGGAACTCACTATGTAGACCAGGCTGGCCTTGAATTCAGATTGATCCTCCTGCCTCTGCCTCCCAAGTGCTGGGATTAAAGGCATGTGTCATCACGCCCAGCTTTAATTTATTTATTTTTATTTTATGTGTATTGAGTGCATTGCCTGCATGTGTGTAAGTGCACCCACACTGTACAGTGCCTGAGGAGGTCAGAAGAGGGCGTCAGATCCTCTGGAACTGGAGTTATGGTTGGTTGTTAGCTGCCATGTGGGTGTTTGAACCCAGGTCCTCTACCAGAGCAGCCAGTGCTTTTTAACTGCTGAGCTATCTCTTCAACACCATTTTTTGTTGTTATTGTTTTGTTGTTGTTTTCATCGTTTTTTTTTTTTTTTTTTTTTTTTTTTTTATACAGGATCTCATGTAGTCTAGGTCAGCCTCAAATTCAATATGTGGCTGAGGATGACCTTGAACTCTTGATCATTCTGTCTCTGCCTCCTGAGTGCTGAGATTATAGATGTGTGTTACTATCCCCAATTTATGCAGTTCTGGGCATTGAACACAGCCATGAGCCACTATGTCCACCACTAGACCATCCTACAAATAAGATGTACCCTTTGTTGTCATATTTCTTTGGCTCAACATAATGTTTTTGAAATCCATCCTCAGATTAATTTTTATTTAATTGTCCCATGGGCCACCATGAAAACACACCACCACTAGTCCTGCTGCTTTATCTGTTTTCCTGCTTATGGATATTTGGGTTGTTTCTAGTTTAAGGCTATTGTAATGTCCCTGTGAACATTCTTGTTCTTATGTATGACTATGTGGACATATGTTCCCCTATCTAGGGTATATCCCTTCAGAGTGAAATGTCTAGAACATAGGGAGGTGTGTTTATCAGCATCAGTATCACTTTTCACTATAGTCCAATGTCAGATGACAGTGCTTCCCAGTTTCCTGAAGGCCTGCCTGGTGCCATGTACACACCTGATTCCCAGTGGGTCAACTTCCTACTTCACTCTTGAGCCCCAGTTCCTCATAAATTCTTTTCTGGATCACTTCTTACCTTCAAACATACTGGGCAAGGCCCCTAGGGTCCTTGTTTGTTTATGTAACAGTCCCTGTATGTTGGTTTGGGAAGCCTCAAAGGACAAGGACCACCACCCTGAAGGGCAGGGCCTGCAGGGTTCCTGCCTAGAGCACATTCCTGGGAGAACACCCTCTCCTTTCTGCCTTCATGTTTAACTTTTTTTGGGGGGGGGATCTTTTTGAGACAGGGTCTCCCTATAGCCCCAGCTGGCCTGGAACTCATTATGTAGACCAGGCTGGCCTTGAACCCACAGACATCCATCTGCCTCTACCTCCCAAGTGCTGGGATTAAAGGTGTGGGCCACTTTGAGGGCTGATCTGCCCCTAGGAAGAGCTGCATTTTACAGACAAAAGAATATGAACACAGATATTGTCACCCAACAGCCGCCTGTTGATTTGGTATACTAGCTACAATGAAGAATACTGATGCTGTCTAGATGTGACCAGGCTTCCAAAACATGTGTCTGATTGCCTTGGCTTACATTTGAACATTCAGTAAGTATCTGGACAAGAGCCTCTCCTTACCTGCAACTATTGTCAAAATTACAGGACAGTCCTGAGAGATAGGGATGGTTAGTATACCCATTTTTTTTTTTTCGGTCTTTTCAAGACAGGGTCTCCCTGTAGCCCCAGCTGTCCTGGATTCACTATGGAGACCAGGCTGGCCTCGAACTCACCTGCCTCTGCCTCCCGAGTGCTGGGATTAAAGGCGTGTACCACCATGCCCGGCCAGTATACCCATTTATAATAAGAAAACTGAGCTACAGAGAGTCAACAGCTGGACAATGCAGAGATGGATGAAATTTAACCCCAAAGTTCGGCTCTGCCATATCTGCTGAGTGGGTGTATGTCTGTGGGTGATAGGGACTTAGTTTGCATAGTGGAAGAGGGGTTCAATGGAGAAAAGATAGCTGTGGACAAGGTCCTGGAGGAATCTGGAAGCAACAGTGGTCTTCATGGTGAAGTGGCCCTGTGGATGGAAAGGAGCCCATCTGATACATTCCTGACACACAGCACTGCGTGTATAACTTCTAGTAGATTGTACCAGTGTCATGTCTTTCCAAGAGATGAACAGTTTACAAGTGGAATAGGTAATGGTATAAGGTTAGACTGTGATTGTTGATTGTCATTGTTTTGTTATTTTTAAAAAAATTAGTTTTATGTGTATGAGTATTTGCCTATGTGAAAAGGCATGCAAAGTCCAAGAAGGCCAGAAGAGGGCATTGGATCCCTTGCAACTGGAGTTAGAGATGGTTATTAGCCACCATGTGGATGCTGGGAATCGAACCCAGGTCTTCTGGAAGAGCAGCCAGTGCTGAGTCATCTCTCCAGCCCTGTTGTTGTTTTAGATAGTCTTATGTATCCAAGGTTGGCTTAGAGTTCCCTATATAGCTGAGGATAATCTTCAGCTTCTGATCCTCCTGCCCTTCTGCCTCCATCTTCTTAGTGCTAAGATCACAGGCATAAGCCATCCTGTCTGGTTTATGCAGTGCTGGAGATTGGACCAGGGCTTCTTGAATGCTAAGCAAGTACTCCAACAACCTTAATCTTAATTGTCAGCTTTACTACAACATATTTTTCTGGCATGTCTGTGAGGGCATTTCCAGAAAGGATTAACTGAGAGCTCAGACTGAAAAAAAAAAGAAAGAAAGGGGAAGGTGTAGGAAGGCTGGGAG